TTCCCCAGTGCCTGGAGCAGAGATCCACAGGGAGCAGCCAGCCATTTTGAGTAGCCTGGGGCTGCAGCCGGCAGAGAGCCTGCCTCAGGATCCTGCAAGGCTGCTGGCTGGGAGCTACCTAGATAAGCACCTCCCAGCCAGAGCCTGCCTCTGGCACCCCACCCCCCTCTCACACCCAAACTCCCTGCCCTGGGTCACAATACAAACCCTCTTTACCCCCAACTCCCTTCCTGACATTGTACCCTCTTCTACGCCTCTTCCCCAGGCCAGAATCCTCTCCTGCACCCATATCCCCTCCTGGACCCTGCACCTGAAGCCCTTTCCTCAAATTATAACCCCTCCCCTTCACCCAGACTGTCTCTCAGACCCCACATCTTCTTCTGCACCTCGGTCTCCTATCCTGATCTCCCTTCTTCACCCAACCTCTGTCCCAGACCCCACACTCTCTTCATAGAAAAGTGTGGTCCTTTACCACTTACCAAAATCTTGGCGTGTCCCCCCTCCATCAAAAATTATTGCCCACCCCTGATCTAGTCTGACATCTTGTATATCACAGGCTGCCAACACTACCCACCATTGACACACTAAACCCAATAACAGGACTAAAGTAATAAGACCCACAGAAGACTAGACTATGACATGCTACACAGTGCCATCCCTAGAGGGGTGCGGGACCCAGGACCACCCCCCCCAGATTCTGCTCCCACCCTGCCTTTTCCTGCCCCGCTCCACCCCCACCCTTCATGCCAACCCTGTTCCATCCCCTACTCTGCCTCTTTTCGCCTCCACCTTGACTCCACCCCTTTCCCAAACCCCACCCTCGCTCTGTCCCTGCCCTGCCTCTTCCTGCCCCTGCTTTCAGCCCCCCACCCTCACTGCATCCCTTCCCCCAAGGCCCTTCTCTTGAGTGATGTGGCCAGGGGAATTACTGGGGGGGCATGGTACCAGCAGCAGGGGTTGATCCTTCCTGCACTCACTGTGGTGGCAGGAAATGGAATAACCTTCATCCCAGCTCTCAACCATGTCACTCGGGGGAGCAGAGCGGGCTGGAGCGAGGGTGCTCCCCTTGCCGTTACCAGGGTAAAACAGAGCAACCTGGCTGGGAGATGGCAGAGAGGAGCAGGCTGGGGCTGGGTCGCTCTGCTTCTCATGGCTTCCACCACTACTGGTGAGTGTGGGAGCAGGCCTGGCACCTGCTGCTGGCACCAGCACCTCCCCCAATTAATCCTTCAGGTTGCCCCCCCAGTTTCCTCCCAAAGCATAGGGCCAATGGACGGCTCCGGTGCCACAGTCAGAGAACAGGAGGTATCAGAATCCATCAGTGCTAAAGGCCCCTCCAATGGCAAGGATACGATTAAATGAACTATACCCAGATAATCTTGGCACATTACCTGCACTTACACACTGCAGAGGAATGTGAAAATGTATTGGGAACTGAATGAAAGGAGTGACAAGACTGACTGCTATATGAGACCCATATAAGGGTGGCTGAGAGGAGTATTTTACAGAAGCTATTGTGTATATGTACTCAGGGCCAGATTAAGGGGGCGGGGCTAGCCGGGCAGCTGCCTGGGGCACCAACCTATGGGGGGGTGCCTGATTGAAGTGGTAAAGGGCGCAGCGCACTATGGGGCAATGCTGCGCATGCGCCACGCACCCGCTGCCCGGGATGGCTCGGTCCGGCACTGTATGTACTGTGGTGATTTTCTTCATGACAAAGCCCAAATCATTTTTTTCTATTTTGTGGCACATTGTCTATATATATCTTAATACATAGGAATGGGTATTGCACGCTGGGGCAACATGACACAAAATATCAAGTAAAAGCTTTGGGGATAGTCTCGGTTATGGAAGATAATACATCTATGGACTGGAAAGCATCTGCTTGCCAAGATGTCACAGGCACATGAACACAAAGCAAACAAGGTAAAGAGGTTGGTCTGCTGTTTGCTTTATTGCATTGATTAGGATACCTTCTATTTATTCTGGTGAGGTTTTCCCCCCCTGGGTAATTGCTTAGCATACTGCAGTAGTACCATATAGATTGATTTATTTAGTTATAAACCATTCGCATGATCTCATACACCATTACACAGTACATTGAGGCTGTGTCTACACTACTTGTCGGAAAAGGCAATGCAAATGAAGCACTGATTAGCATTTTCTATTCCAATCCATTTTTGCGCAAGAGGTTTTTTTGCACAAAAACATGCAGGGTGGACGTGTCCGTTTTGCGCAAAAACCCCTTTTTGAGCAAGATCCTGGCATAAGGATATGTGCTTAAACTACTCTAAGTATAGAGGGGAGGCACCTCACCACCAGCTTTGGGTTCCATATTCTGAAAATGTGCACAAATCTGAGCTTTTGCTTAGGCCGACTGGCTTTCAGTTCTGTATTTGTATTGTACTTAGCACAAGATGGGTCCAGCATTGGGGCTGTTAGGAATAGATACACCCCAGTTCGCGCACACTAGATTAAAATAATGCAAAAAAGGGGGGGAAATCGCACCCACCATCTTGAGGAGCAGACGGAATTTGCCCTGCTAATGCGATCGTAACGCATCCTCCCTTGAAACTGGGGGGAGGCTTTACACAATACGGTCCCGTCCCCACGCTCCTCGGGGAGCCACGCTGGGCGGCAGGAGAGCAGCGCACCCAGGCCCGGCTCTGGGGAACCTGGCGGCGGCGGGGAGGAGCGGGAGGAGGAGTCAGGAGGCCCGTGTGACAAAGCCCAGTGCGCAGAGAGCTGGTGACCAGGAAGCAGAACAGCAGCTGGCTGCGGCTGGGGGCCGGGCGCGGGCTGCACCTGAACCCAGCTGTCCACACAGCCCTGCCCCCCTGCTCTGCGGCCCGCATGGGGGTGGGGAAGTGAGGCCTGCGCCTCGGCAGCGGCGCCCCGGAGCGGGTGGGCCAGGCAGG